TGAAAATCGGTATTACATTCGCTATCCTCCAGGATTCTGGTACTACACCTGTTTTTAAGGACATGTTAAACAACTTTACTAAGGGCATACTAAGCTCTTCCTTACATTCCTTTAATACTCTGGCAAATATCTCATCGGGACCAGGTGACTTATTAGGCTTTAGTTTGTCTATTTGCTGACTAACATCGTTACTAGTCACTACTATCTCGCTTAATTTGTTTTCTTCACTATCTCTGAATTGAGTCGGTGCCTCGGGTATCATGTTTAAATTTTCGGTGGTGAAAACTGTTGAAAAATATTTATTCAAATTATTGCTCATTTCTCTGTTGTTATCAGCGAGCTCGCCGGTGTCTGACCGTATTGGTCCAATCGTTTCTCGTGTTTTAGTTTGATACATTTGGTAGAATCCTTTGGGGTTTGTCTTCTCCTCCCTTGCTATCCTTACCTCATTATTCCTCTTGGCTTTCCTTATCTCGGTTTTAACCCTACTTGCCAATAAATTATAATAATCCTGGAGGTAAATTTCGCCATGATTTATCCTTTTACCTATAGCCTTCCTTTGGCCAATGATGTTCTTTAAATAATTATTTATCCATTTAGGGTCATTGTTGTCTGATCTGAGTTTTTTGTATGGTATGTTCTGCCTTTGTGCATTAAGTAACTCACTATTTAAATTGTCGTGGAACTCGGCAATCTCAGATCTCGTTATCAGGTCGGTGTCATCTGTCAGGTTCACGGCCAAGCGCGACACCCCCTCTCTCAGCTGCCTCTTTAAACTATCAAAGTTTGCCCTTCTGAAATCTGGTACTTTAGTGGAATTTTCTTTACGTCTGCCCTGAAAATCTAACTGGAATCTAATTTCTTTGTGATCGCTGTTTGCAAGTTCGTTCCCTACCTCGACACTGCTAATGAGGTTTTCTCTGTTTGACAAAACTAAATCGAGTATCTTATTACCCCGTGTGGGTTTGGTTATATGTTGACTTAGAAAATAGTCCTGGATCGTCTCGAGAAAATCCTCTGATTCTGAGTTACCTGTAAGGTCAGTCCAATCTATTTGGCCAAGGTTAAAGTCGCCTACTATACAGACTTTGTTGTGTATGGAAGCCCTGCGCATTTCATCCCAGATAAGTCGCTCATTGACTATCAAGATTGGGAGGTTTATATATTACTCCTGTGATTAATTTCTCCCTACCGTCGATTAATTCTATCCAAATTGTTTCTGTATTCCGCTCAGTTTTTATTTCCTTATTTATTTCACTCTTCAGATTATCCCTAACATAGATTGCTACTCCGCCTCCTTTCCTGGTCTTCCTGTCGGTATGGAACAGTTTGTAACCCGCAATTTGGTATTCGACCGGTAACTCACGTGTGTCTAGGTTGATGCATGTTTCAGTGAATGCTATTATATCGATTTTTTCGGCACATACCAAGGCCCTAATATCATCCATTTTGTTTCTCATACTTCTACTGTTCGCGTAGTATACATTTAAGTTAGTCGTGTTCTGAGTCCTCCCCTTACCGCGTTTAGTTTTAAACTCCGTCTAATTTAGTTTTGTCATCATTCCTAACACTATTTCCCTGTAATCTTTCACTTTGTTTACCCGCTCCCACTGCAGTCTCCTCCACCCCTGTGCTCATATGTTCCCCTAGCAGTTTAAAGACTTCGATATCTTTTGAACTGCCCCCTCTAGAGCCCCAGCCAGGGTTGCTACTCCGTCCCTAGACAGGTGCACCCCATCCCTAGCATAAAGGTCCCTTCTGCCGTAGAAGTTGTCCCAGTTGTCTTGAATGGGACTGATATTGACTTGCAATATCTGTCAAGACGGTCGTTTACACCAACTGCCCTTGACAACCATTCACTGCCAACTCTCCTTCTAGGCAGGACACCACATATGATAGGGATCCCTCCCTTAGTCCTAATACGATCTATAGCTGTCTTGAACTTATCAAGAAGCTCCTCACTCCTACACCGACCAATATCATTGCCTCCTGCACTGAGGCAGATAATGGGTTTGTTCCCATTACCAGACAAGTTATTGTCCATCCTGTCAACTATATCCCCCACCCCAGCCCCTGGCAAACACACCCTCATCCTATTTATGTTTTTACCACAAAAAGCCCTGTCCAAGTACCTTACCTGTGAGTCACCAACAATTAAAGTGTTTATACCTTCCTTGTCAGCCCTGTCCCTGACTGTACTAACGTCCAATTCGTCTATCAAGGGACTGAACGAGTTGGTACACTTAGCTGCTGATGTCGTTGCTGACGTATCCTTGGTGTGTTTCTTCATCACCAGTTTGGTCTTCCCTCTCCTTACAACCTTCCATTCTCTTGGATTTTCGTCAGACACTGGCTTTCCCTGTCCCGCCTCCCCCTTCAATCTCGCCATCTCTTCTTTTAATTTCAGGTTCTCCAACGTGGCCCTCTCTATTTCTTCCTTGGCCCTCTCCAATTCTTCCATGGCCCATTCCAGCTTGGCCAACAAACTGGCAGACCCCAGACCACACATAGCGCTGGTCATATCTGATAATTATCCCTCGGGAGCTAACCCTGCCATGACCTTTCCCCTAGTGAGGTCAGAACACAACTGAGGACGGATTTAAGTTGGATAAGTTTAGGTTTAGGAGGGAGATAGGATGGAACTGGTTCACAAATAGGGTGGTGGACGAGTGGAACAAGCTCAGCAACTTTGTAGTAAGTGCTGGAATGCTGGAAAATTTTAAAAGGAGGCTAGATAGCTGCCATGCACATGCCAACCGGCCTATTGCAGACTTCTTATTTTCTTATATACATTGTCATCTCTCTCTTTCTCTCTCTCTCTCTCTTTCTCTCTCTCTCTTTCTCTTTCTCTCTCTCTCTCTCTCTTTTTCTCTTTCTCTTTTTTTTTGTTTTTGTTTTTGTTTTATTGGACAATTAAAGATATGTTAGATTAATCTCTCGTGTCCTCAGTGTTTTGAGATGATTTTCTCTGCAATTTAATCATGACTGCCACAATTGTATGGGCATTAGCACACACACACACTTCATCCTTGACCACCGACGGGTCAGATGCACCTGGCGCTGCTCAGCAGCAGCCAGGTCAACTGTTATGTTGGCCCATACCAACTCCCTCCCCTGAACCCTCCTCCCCACCGGAATATCAACAAGTTCTCGCCAGAAGTTACTATTTCATTTGGGGAAGGAATGGAACCAGTGTTGAATAGTGGTGAACAATGCTTAAGTCAGTGAAAAACAACTTGGCAATTGAGTCTGAGCCACGCTAACCTTCACACAGTGAGGTCCCAGGTACCCAGTGATAATTCCCCTGAGACTCCATGATAGAGAGGCCTGGGACCACACCTCACCCACTTGAGTGAGTGAATTCCTGTGACAACGGACCACGTGGTGTCCCCATTATGCACGACACCACATAGTGAATAAGTTGCTACAGCATCATGTGAAGTTCCTCATAACACCTGCGAGGGAATTACTACACCACATGATGCCCCTCATAACACCATCCGTGAAGGAATTACTACTCCATGTGATGCCCCTTATAACACCATCTGTGAGGGAATTACTACACCACATCAGGCCCCTCATACACCATCTGTGAGGGAACTAGTACACCACATCAGGCCCCTCATAACACCACCTGTGAGGGAACTAGTACATCATCAGGCCTCTCATAACACCATCTGTGAGGGAACTACTACACCACATCAGGCCCCTCATACACCATCTGTGAGGGAACTACTACACCACATCAGGCCCTCATACACCATTTGTGGGACCATTACCACACACATCACATCTGTCGTGAGGAACTACTACCCCTCAGGCCCCTCCTTACACCATCTGTGAGGGAATTACTACACCACATCAGGCCCCTCATACACCATCTGTGAGGGAATTACTACACCACATCAGGCCCCTCATACACCATCTGTGAGGGAATTACTACATCACATCAGGCCCCTCATACACCATCTGTGAGGGAATTACTACCACATCAGGCCCCTCATACACCATCTGTGAGGGAATTACTACACCACATCAGGCCCCTCATACACCATCTGTGAGGGAGTTACTACACCACATCAGGCCCCTCACAGCACCACCTGTGAGGGAACTAGTACTCCACATGGGCCTCACCCTTTTACCTGTGAGAACTGGTACACCACATCAAAATTCTCCTTAGCACACCATCTGTGAGGGAATTACTACACCACGTCAAGCCCCTCATAACACCACCTGTGAGGGAACTACATTTTCACATCAGGCCCTCATAGCACCTCTAGCAGAATTGCTACACCACATCCAGGTCCCTCCTTACCACCTCAGAGACTAGTATTGCACACATCAGGCCCCTCATAGCACCACACCTGGGGAGCTGGTACACCATCAGGTCCCTCACTTGCACATCTGTGAGGAATTGCTACACACCATCAGGCCCCTCATAACACCATCTGTGAGAATTCCTACACCATCAGGCCCCTCATACCATCTGTGAGGGAATTGCTACATCATCAGGCCCCTCGTAACATCATCTGTGAGGAAATTACTACATCACGTCAAGCCCCTCATAACACCACCTGTGAGGGAACTACTACACCACGTGATGCCCCCTCATAACGCCATCTGTGAGGGAGTTACTACACTACGTGTCTGCTGTTCAACACCTCAGCTCACATGTTCTACGTGTGTAAACATTAATCTGTATGTTCACTGTATGTTCCTTCACCTTTCTCTAATGAAGGCTTTTGTTAAACCACCAATGTATGTAATAAGTCATTTATGTCCAATGTATATTTTCAGCCTTCGAGCTGCAAACTTTTTCAATAAACCGTTTATTATTATTATTATTTTACACTGTTATTACAATGTTTCATAATCATATATACTGTAACTTAGATGGTCGCTGTACAGTATATAGGTATTAGTATACTATATATAATGTTTCATAATCTGATATACCCTTGTTTTGGTTATATTCTAATATACCCTTGTTTTGGTTGCAGGTCCTATGGCAGCGTATACAAGGCACTCCACAAAGAGTCAGGGCAGGTGCTGGCCATCAAGCAGGTGCCTATTGACACTGACCTTCAGGAGATAATTAAGGAAATTTCCATCATGCAGCAGTGTGACTCCCATCATGTTGTCAAATACTACGGCTCCTACTTCAAGGATTCTGACTTATGGGTAAGTTTCTATAACCTTGGTCCTGATTGGTGGATGTTGGCTGTAGATGTCCCTGATTGGTGGGTGTTAGCTGTAGGTGTCCCTGATTGGTGGGTGTTGGCTGTAGATGTCCCTGATTGGTGGGTGTTGGCTGTAGGTGGCCATTTTTGGTGGGTGTTAGCTGTAGGTGGGCCTGATTGGTGGGTGTTAGCTGTAGGTGGCCCTGATTGGTGGGTGTTAGCTGTAGGTGTCCCCTGATTTGGTGGGTGTTAGCTGTAGGTAGTTTGGTGGAGTGTTAGCTGTGGTGGCCCTGATTGGTGGGTGTTTGTGTAGGTGTCCCTGATTGGTGGGTGTTAAGGTGTCCCTGTTTGGTGGGTGTTAGCTGTAGGTGGCCCTGATTGGTGGGTGTTAGCTGTAGGTGTGATTGGTGGGTGTTAGCTGTGGTGTCCCTGATTGGTGGGTGTTGGCTGTAGGTGGCCCTGTAGGTGGCCTGATTGGTGGGTGTTAGCTGTAGGTGTCCCTGATTGGTGGGTGTTAGCTGTGGGGTGGCTCTGATTGGTGGAGTGTTAGCTGTAGGTGGCCCTGATTGGTGGGTGTTAGCTGTGGGTGGGGTGTTAGCCAGGTGGGCCTGATTGGTGGGTGTTGCTGCCCTGCTGTGGTGTCCCTGATTGGTGGGTGGCTGTAGGTGTCCCTGATTGGTGGGTGTTAGCTGTAGGTGGCCCTGATTGGTGGTGCCAGATTGGTGGCTGTAGGTGTCCCTGATTGGTGGGTGTTAGCTGTAGGTGGCCCTGATTGGTGGGTGTGTAGCCCTGATTGGTGGGTGCTTAGCTGATTGGTGGGTGTTAGCTGTGGCCTGATTGGTGGGTGTTAGCTGTAGGTGGCCCTGATTGGTGGGTGTTAGCTGTAGGTGGGCCTGATTGGTGGGTGTTAGCTGTGGGTGGTCCTGATTGGTGGGTGTTGCTGTAGGTGTCCCTGATTGGTGGGTGTCCCTTGATTGGTGGGTGTTAGCTGTAGGTGGCCATGTTTGGTGGGTGTTAGCTGTAGGTGGGCCTGATTGGTGGGTGTTAGCTGTAGGTGGCCCTGATTGGTGGGTGTTAGCTGTAGGTGTCCCTGATTGGTGGGTGTTGGCTGTAGGTGGTCCTGATTGGTGGGTGTTGGCTGTAGATGTCCCTGATTGGTGGGTGTTAGCTGTAGGTGGGCCTGATTAGTGGGTGTTGGCTGTAGGTGGCCATTTTTGGTGGGTTGTTAGCTGTAGGTGTCCCTGATTGGTGGGTGTTAGCTGTTGGGACTTTGTTTGTATTTAAATCTATATTGTGTGGGTTTTTTTTATACGGGAATTAGCCCGCTTGGGCACAGGTCGAATGACCCACAATAGGGCCTGGGGGGCAAAAAAAATAAGAACAGAAAGAAATTAAAAATAGCGAAGAAAAAGGTTATATTGTGTTAATCTACACCACGAAGATGCTGGAAAACCAGCTTTTTATAGTGAGACAGATTGTATAAGTATGGAAACACAGAAGAAGGCAGAGCATTCCACAGTTTGGCTGTGTGATTAAGGAAGGATACACTATAACGGGTTATTCTAGTATGACTGACATCCACAGAGAAATGGTGGGCCATGGTAGGAAGGCATATGTTACGAGCCCACGGCCTTGCCGGCGGTACACAGGATGCCAAATCCACCGAACATTGCTCGTTAAAGTACCTGTAAGAGAGAGAGAGTGAAGCAACATTGTGGTGAAGAGAAAGGGAAGAGAGATTGTCGACTAAAGGAGGAGAGTTAATAAGACGAAATGCCTTTGATTCCACCCTATCTAACAGTTGGACAGAAGAAGAGCCACCCCAGATATGAGAGCAGTACACCAAGTTAGGACGAATGAATCCCTTATATACTTGGAGCAACTGCTCAGGAGTGAAGTGGCTACGGCATCTGTACAGCATTCCCAACTTTCGGGAGGCAGCTTTAGCTATATTAAGGATGTGTGATTTCCAGGACATATTGGAGGAAATGGTGAGGCCTAGCATATTTATTTCGGGATTTGGCAGAATGATAGCGTCCTGAAATGTAATTGGTGGTAGATCATCTAATTTAGAAAGTGTAATTGGTAAATACTGAGTTTTATTACTATTTAATTTAACCAAGTTTGTACCTCCCCATTCAGAGATGCTGCACAGATCCGCATTGATAGATGTAATGATATCAGCTCTAGAAACAGATCTAGTTTGAGATTTAGGAGGAAGGGAAAAATGTGAAGAAGAGTAAAGAGTAGAATCATCCATGTAAGGATGGAGAGAATTAGTTGTAGTGTGAAGTAAATCATTGATAAAAAGAAGGAAGAGAGTAGGTGAAAGAATAGAACCCTGTGGGACACCATTATTGGTAGAGAAAGAGCGAGAGATTGATCCCTCGACAACAACTGCCATGGATCGGCTCTCAAGGAAGCTAGAGGTTAAGGTAGATTAGGTTAGGTTAGGTTAGGTTAGGTTAGGTTAGGTTAGGTTAGGTTAGGTTGTGTTAAGTTAAGTTCGGTTGTGTTGGTCTTGTTTGGTTGTACTGTATTAGGTTAGGTTAGGTTTTGTTAGGTTAGCAATAGGGGTTTAATCATCTGGACCGCATTTACATTACAACCATGGTATTGATAAGTATCCTATTATTTCCAGATCGTAATGGAGTACTGTGGTGCTGGTTCAGTATCTGACATCATGAGGCTACGGAAGAAGACACTCACTGAAGAGGAAATAGCGACTGTAATATACGACACCTTGCGTGGTCTAGAGTACCTCCACCTTAGACGGAAAATTCACCGGGATATTAAAGCCGGAAATATCTTACTCAACACTCAAGGTCATGCCAAATTAGCCGACTTTGGAGTGGCGGGTCAACTGTCGGTAAATATATGCTGTAGTTGTCATTTGTTTACTAATTTTTTTTTATATTGTTTGACTTTATACATTTTTAATTTATTTAACTTTTTTGTGCTTATATTGTACAGTATTTGTATATATTTGAGCTGATTATTTTTTCTTTCCTTGTGGTCGATAATTATTGGAAAATTCACTTCTCTAATATTAATGAAATATTCTTTAGTTACAAATTACATAAAGAGAAACTGTGGACTGAAGTGACACTATGATGAGGTTACTTGGTGTTATCACAAGACATATACAGTACATTATTAAGTTGATATTTTAACCCTCGTAAGTTATCCCTAAGAGCGAGTGATGGTCACTTGCCCTCACCTCCCACACCATATATACAGTACAGTAACTTGATATAAACTGGAGTTGTATATTAGCTGTGTTGTATTAATGGACTTTGTTTTATGATTTGTCCTTGGTGTTTCTACACTCTCCATGTAAGGGATTGTATAGCAGTTTTATTTTTAGAATGTAGAAAAGAAAAATTTACTTTACTAACATTATTCTTTTATCACACCAGAAATGTAATGCATCAGTGTTTCAAACTTCTTTCTTTAATAATTATATTTTTATTGGGAATTATTTTTTATCTTTGGCAAAATTTTCTGTGACTGAAGAAGTGGACGTTGGGAATTTTACATCGACATGTGTTTTGACCTTAACCTCTTCTCTATGGGGATGCCACTTTGATATTTTAATTAAACGATTATACAGTATTCAGCTCGGAGGAGGACCCATACACAAGAGGTTAAAGTCTTAGGAGGAAGACTGTGAACTCGTAAACAGGTATCAGGGGTAAAACCCTCCAACTCCTCTTGTGTTAACCTTGGCTACCAGACTCCCACCTGTCCGAATGAGTTATATTCAACTGTCTAATAAATCATGTTGGTGTTGGCAAAGCTATGGAATGTTGCAGTGAGGTGTTGGCCAAGACCATTCACTTGTGCTATGTCAGTTACACTCGAGGATGTTGCCGACTGTACTCTACCTTTGTTAACTCGCTTTCTGACTGGTAACGGCAGATATAGAATGACTGCCCCATGGGTGTGTTGCTAAACTGGGTGTGCATGGTCATTGAAGAGTAGGGAAAAATTGTCCTATATGTTTATGCTTTAAAAGTGTGTTCAGGGTAGCCTCTGAATTGTTTGTATTTAAGATGAGTTATTTGTTTAATATTTTGCACCTTTACAGGACACAATGGCCAAAAGAAACACTGTGATAGGAACTCCTTTTTGGATGGCCCCGGAAGTGATTCAGGAAATAGGTTACGACTGTGTAGCTGATATATGGAGCTTAGGTGAGTGACTTAATGAGAAGGTAGGGGAAAGTATGTGCATACAGTGAGACATTTGGTAAGTGTGAAGTGCAATTGAGGGAGAGATTAAGAATAATTATCATGTACCAGAATTAGCCTTTTTTTTCAGGATATTTTCATTGAAGACAAACTAGTATATTTAATCCTAGTATTTATAAAGATGAGTTTAAAACTTCTCCTTTTTTGTGTTGACCTTAACTATATATCTGTTAGTATTATTAAATCTTCCCTTGAGATTATATAGACAGGATTACTGTAAATCCTCTTTTTGTATTAACTTAAATCCTCTCCCAGTGTTGTGAAGTAAGGGGTGAGGGGATTTATTTATTGGATGAGTTTAGAATCGATGGGCAAACCTGGCACGGATAATTTCAGATATCCACTTGTTCTTGCTTGACCACAGCTTACACGGTATATGGTATATGGATTAATGATTCATGATATTTTATAACAAGTGGCTAAATTGACAGGTTCATTCGTTACTTCTGTTTGCTGTGTGTAAGATGGTTCTGTTAACCTGTGTTATATTTAGGAGGAAGACTCTGTTATCTATTTACTGTAGTTATAGAGAGATATCTCCATTAGCCAGAACATTTGGTGCAGGGCATTTCTGGGAATGAGACGACTCTCTCGAAGCCGGAAAAAAAATCCCTCGTCCCCAGAATTTTCCTGGTAACCGAAAAATGTTCTCGGAAGTTCCAGAAATTGCCCATTATGTCATCTCTCGAAACTGGAAAAATATTTCCCATCCCCGGAATTTTCCAGGTATTGGGAAAATCTTTTGATAATTTTCTGGAAAATGTGCCCCTCGGAAATTTGTTCCAAAAGTTGGAATTTTCCAGAAAATCCAAGTTTTGGGAATGATTTTCCGAGAAAATTTCAATTTTGGTTATTGGAGAGTTCTGGGTTTGATGGATTCCAGCTAACAGAGATATTACTGTTGGTAGCAGGAAGACTATAATATATTTAGTGCTATACTGTATTAGGAGGAATACTATAATATATTTAGTGATATATTAGGAGGAAGACTATAATCTATTTAGTGATATACAGTACAGGCTAACCTCACATATTTGTGCTTATTGGTATCCCACTGTGGCCATATTTCTGAAAGTCACAGATGTGTGGAATAAACATGAAAAACTTGAATATTTGGTGATCATTTGCTAAAAACTGAATACAAATGTACAACATAAATCTTTGTTTCAAACTTACACTACTGCCATATTTATTGGACCGCTCTTTAACACTTTATTCCACACTATTGTGGTTTTGAGTTAAATGATTTAGTGAGTACTGTGCAAGGTTGGCCTAATTTGAACAAATTTCAAATTGCATACATCACAAATGATCAAAATTGCTATAATAAACAATAAAATTGATACATAGTATGTCATAAGGTATAGTAGTAAATATTTTATGTACAGAATATACCTCAGCTCCTTCCACACTCAACCCATCCATACTGTG